GCCTGATCAACTCTGGGTTCCCAGTAGATCACTCTGACTGGATGGTGGGCTCATGAACACAGATGGCATCAGAAAGGGCAGGTTGAAAGGATTGTGGGAATCCAGGTGGGAGCTGATGATGACCCGGGCTTGGAGAACTGCAATGGATGGAGATGAGAGGTCTTTAACCATGGGAACCACAGGTTGGATGTGAAAGGTGAGGCTGGGAGTATTTTGTGGTTTAAGCAACTAGGTGGAGGGTGGTGCTTTTACTGGCATAGGCACCAATGGAGGAGGAGCGAGTCAGGGAGGAGGAAGGTCATTATTGAGCACTTCTTACTCTCAGGAGATCCAATACGATTGGCCCATGTCTCCTCTTCCAACTGCAAATGCACAGCTTCCCCCACCTCCCAACCACTGTATGTGCTTCCTCACTCCCTCGTCCGGTTCCATGAACATCTCAGGTGTTCTGTGGGAGGACCTCTGCCTGTGCTGTGTCTGGGGGAGGATCAGTCTGACTGATCCGGGCGTGGAAAGCTACCCTAGATCTTAGTGTAGGCAGCATCCTTAAGGACTCCTCCAGTCTAGATCACCCCACCCCCCACGATATGTTCTCATAGCACCACACCTGTTTCCTCCATGGCACTTCCCTTAGGTGCAATCACACATCATATGTGGCTACTTGATTCACCCAAGCCTCTCTCCCATGGACTGTGTTCTCTTAGGGCAGGGTCAGTGTCTTATTCACCATCGAATCCCAAGTAACTAACACATGCAAAAGTGTTTAAAACTTTTAAAAACTTGAGCTATAATTCACATATAAAATCTACTCTTTCAAAGTGTAAAATTCAGTGGAGTTTAGGATATTCACAAAGTTGCACACCCATCACCATCCAATTGCACAGCATTCTCATTGCCCCTAGAAGAAACCCCATCAGCATTCACTTCCCATGTTTCCGTCCCCCAGTTCCCAGCAGCCACTAGTTACTGCTGTCTCAATGTACCTGCCTATTTGGGCGTTTCACGTAGTCCTGTCAGTCATACGATATGTGATTTTTGTGTCTGGATTTTTTTCACTGAGCATAATGTTTTCAAGGTTCATCTTTCTCATAACATGTATCAGTACTTCACTCTTTTTATGAGTAAATAATATTATATTGTACATTAGCATACACACATTTTGTTCATCCATTGATGGAAAAGGGATTGTTTGCACTTTTAGGCTATTATGAATAGTGCAGCTATGAATATTTGTGTCTAAGTTTGTGTGTTGATGTATGTTCTCCATCCTCTCGGGTATATACCGTCAGCCCTGGTTTATGGCGGTTAATCAGTTCCAGACTGTACCACAATAAATGAATGTCCGCGATAGAGTGAAACCGCAAAAGTCGAAGCGCAAAGTGGTGAGGGACGACTCTACCTAGGAATGGAATTGCTGGGTCAGAATGGTAGCTCTATGTTTAACTATCTGAGGAACTGCCAAACTTTTCCAAAGCAGCGTGTCCATCCTATTTACATTCCTCATGCAAAGATGTATAAGAACTATTTGTTAGGCTGAATAAATAATTTCTTACATAGTACACTGGCTACTATTTAAAATATTGTAAGAAATATATGTGTGGTCGTTCAAATGACCAAAGTATATTTCTCATATAGTTTTGGTCTTCACAGTTTCTGGCTCACATCTCCCCAAACCACTGGAATTTCCTAGTGTTAAGAAAGATGTCGGTATCTCCTGTTATGTGGATAAGGTGAATTTCAGAAGCACCAAAAGATGAGGGCTGGTTGCCAGGAGAACCAACCAAGTGATTAGAGGGTTGGAATAGTTAGTCCCACCCTCCTTCCTTCTTTGACCTATATGACTCCAGCGGAGGGGAGAGAGGCTGGAGGTTGAATCAATTGCCTATGTCCAATGATTTAATCAATCATTTCTATGTAATGAGGCTTCCATAAAAACCCAAGAGGATGGGGTTTGGGGAATTTCTGGGTGGTGAACAGTTGAAGATTCGGGGAGAGAAGCTGGTGTGGAGAGGGCATGGAAGCTCCCTGCCCGTTTCCACATACGTTACCCTATGCATCTCTTCCATCGGGCTGTTCCTGCGTCTACAATAAACTAGTGATCTAGTAAGTAACATATTTCTCTAAATTCTGTGAACCATTCGAGCAAATTAATCGAACCCAAGGAGGGGGATTTGGGAACCTCTGATGCATAGCCAGTCGGGTCAGAAGTGCAGGTGAAATCTGGACTTGAGATGGGCATTCTGGGTTGGAGGGGCCTTGGAACCTCTGATCTGTAGCCAGTTGGTCAGAAGCATGGAGAGCCTGGGCTGATGGCAGGTTCTGAAGTGTGTTTGCAGTGGGGGCAGCCTTGTAGGACTGAACCTTTAACCTGTGGAATCTGATGTTATCTCTGGGTAGATAATATCAGAATTGAGTTGAATTCTTGAATACCCTGCTGGTGCCTGAAAATTGTTTGTTGGTGTGGGGGACCACCCTCAACATTGGGTCCAGGAACCCAATTTACTATTATTTTTGGCACTTAACAGACTAGAAAAGCGTGTCACTGGAAGCAAGTGCCTTGGGCAAATTTGCTCGACTAATTAGCTGCAGAGCCAGGATCAGGACTGTGCCTGTGTTACTCCTGCGCCAGTCCTGTTCACTCAACTGGGGAGCAGCTCTGAGCCAGGAGCCTGCAGGAGATCCAACGTGATAACACTGTTCTACTCGAACTCTGGGTAGTGACTCTAGTGGAGCAGGAGATCCAACGTGATAACACTGTTCTACTCGAACTCTGGGTAGTGACTCTAGTGGAGGGGACAAGGGCTGGAGGTTGAATCAGGTGCCAGGCAATCAGTTTCTCTCCTTCCCTATGTATCCCCCTCCATCCATTTAGCACACAGCCTGATCATATCTATTCCCTTAAAACAAACAAACAAACAGACAAAAGAAAACAAAATTCAAGGTTTACTGGTCTCCTATCTTATAGCATTGGAAGTCCTTGGCCTCACAGAGGTCATTCTGAACTGACCTCAGCCTGCCTTTTCAGCTCCATTTCCCACCACTCTGTTTTATTTATTCAACAAATGTTTACCATGGGCCTGTGACGACATGCAAGGTCCCTGATAGGCTTACAAACCACCTACAATGTGGCTCCTGCCCCCAAAAGATTTACATCTCATGTGGAGGGAGGCAGGCAAGTAGATCAGTGTGAGGGCTTCAGTAGAGATTCAAGTAGTGTTTGGGGGGAGTAGGTAGGCAGGGCCCCTCAGCCCATCTAAGAGATCAAATAGATTCCAGAAAGAGGTAAGACTTGAGGTGAGTACCTTAGAAATGAAGAAGAAACTCTGTCATCCCTACAAGGAAGAACAGGTGCAAAGGCAAGGCAGTGTCAAACCAGGTGCCTTCACTCTTCATTCCACAGGTGCTTACTGAGTGCCTCTTAGATGCCAAGTGCTGTTCTAGGTGCTGGAGGTGCAGCAGTGAACACAACGGAGCAGGCCCTTACCCCCAGGGAGCTGACAGTCCACAGGGGGGGAACACTGAAATGTGGGTTGGGGAAGGCCAACAATTATGGCCCTGGGGTCCATGGACCCCTGGGGTCTGGAAAGTATCCACAATAATCTTGAAATTTGAATGGAAATGTGTGTGTGTGTGTGTGTGTGTGTGCGCGCGCACGCTCAGATTCACATGTATTTTCATAGAGCATTTTACAGCATTTTATTGTATTCTCAAAGGGATTATTGACCATCTTGGGTTAAAACCCGTATTCTAGGGCCCCTTGTGCTAAGTGAAGGAGTTTGACCTTGATCTGGAAGTTCTGGGAGCCAGTAATGCATTTTAAGTGAAACTATTAGAGCCTGACCCTGTGCTCTTGCCTTTTCCGCTGCGAGGACTTCGTTCTTGCTGTCCTCCCGACCTGGAGGAGTGGAAAGGGCCACACATAAAGGATGGACAAGTCTGAGTTTGCATCCTGCCTCCACCCATGGTGTGCCACCTGCCAGTCACCAGTCTTCTCCTCTGTGACAAGTTGTGAGGTTTACATGAGACCGTGATATTTTGAGGATTTAATGATATATATTTTTTTTTGTCTGGAAAGTGCCCAGAATAAAGGAGCCAACTCAGCAAATCTTAGTTTCTCTCTTGGCTTGGTGGCTCAGCTGTTTGGAGATGCCCTCTTGTCTGACATCTCCCTGGGCCAGTTGCTCACATGCCCGCAGAGCCTTGTGGCTATCACCAGGGTCACTTTCAACACACTGTGTTCCTCTCTGTTGACTACCTTTGTCATCTCGTCAATCCACACACCAGTCCAAGTGGTGACACCTTCCCTTTTACAGATGAAAAAACAGGCCCAGGAAGTTGAGAAATTTACTAGGAATCAGTCAGTTAATGTGCATCTGGAAGCATTCCATCATCAGCCTTCTAAAAAGATTATAATGACAGTAGCAACAGCAATGAACATTTATTATGCTTACTCGGTACCAAGCGCTGTGCTGAGCATTCTACCTGTACCCTAACCCCCAGTTTCATCCATTTCCCTACAGGTGGGCAGGTATTACTATGTTGTTATTCAAATTTACAGAGGAGGAAACTGAGGCTCAGAGAGGTAAAGCAAGTTGCCCAAAGTAACCCAGGCCAGTCAGTTTCCAAACTCTGACCTCCATCTAACTCCAAAGAAACCTGTGTCATTCTGCCTCTTGAAAAACATCGCTCCCATCTGTACAGTTAAAAACCCCACCCAAGCCGGCCCTGCGTCGCGCTGTGTTTGCTGCAGCCAAATCTCGGGTTGTTTTGATCAAGGAAAGAGAGGGCGCTGCCTGATTGGTCTGGGGGGCCGCGGGAGAGGAGAGGAGGTCACGGTGGAAATTTTAGGTGCTGGGGCGTGTGCCGGGGACCAGAGTACGAGTCACGTGTGCGTGAAACTCGACCTAGGAGGAGAGCAAGGGAAGAGAGCCCCCGCCCCTACCTCAGGGTGCAGCCCCGGGCGGACGGGTATAAATACAAGCACTAACTCTTTAGGTCCACTTCTTCCCCGTCTCGCTAAGTGGACCGGTGTTGCCCAGGGGCTTCCCAGCTCCCCGACTTGTTCGAGAGGGGAGCACACCAAGCTGTCGGGCTGAACCCCGGAGGCCTGGGGACCCGAGCACCGAGGAGCGCCGAGCGGGTGCTGGTCAGGGCTGGGCCCGTGGGGCACGGGATACCGAGAGTGTGCACGCGCCGCTAAGGCGCTGCGCTCCCAGAGCGTCTGCAGCTGCAGGAGGGGCATCTGCCCCCACCCGAGGTGAGCCGCTGGTGGGGGTCGGGGACCAGCCGCACGCCAGCTGAGAGCCATGGGGCGGGTTGCCACCCACACTTCCAGGCTGTCCAAGAAAAACCCGTTACCTGAGCCCTTGGGTCCCGGGGTGCCCAGTTCTGTTTCTTCAAGCGCGTCCCCCCGCCCCCCGCTTCCTTTGGGCCCCTTCTGGCCACACTTCCTCTGTTCTGAGCGACTCTCCTCTCTCGGGGGTTGATTGGACCTGCTGGAGCGCCTGAATCCAAAGTCCCATTTCTCCAATGAGGGTACTGAGGTCCCCAGCGAAGCGACTCGTGCTTCCCCCTCCCCCGGCCCTTGCCCTCCCTGTCCCCCTTCTCTGCTTTCCTCGGTCTCGCCGCCCTGGCGGTTCTCCGCCCCCAAGTTGCCGGAGTCCCATCTCCTCCCACGGCCACCGCGGCCTCGGCGGGGGGAGCTCGGGCTCCTTCCCTCCCTCTGGTAAACACACCCGCCCGCCCGTCAGCCACCACTGCCCTTATAAAGTCAGCGGGCCGCCGGACTTCCTGCGGGAGCCCGAGCCCCCTCCCTGGGCAGGAGCTGGAGGGCGGGCTCCGAGGGGCGCATCGCAAGCCCTAAAGAGTGAGTGAGTGGTGCCCCAGGGTGCCGGGGTCGCAAGTGGGCCCGCCCTGGGTCTTAGTCCACGTGGCAGCTGTTGGCTTGGATCAGAAACTATAGGGACACCGGTCGCCTGGTGCGGAGTAGAGGAGGGCTAGCTGTCGTCCAGCCCCAGAGGCGAGGAGTGGTCCTATAGGGGCAACAGGAAGGGGGGTGTCTTAGGCCAGCTTCAGACTTCCCTTTCCTTCTGCTTGCTTCTGGGGGGTCCTTACTGGAGCAGGAGCTCGGATACTGGCCAGTGGTGGATCCAGAGTGCGCCCTGCCCTTTGCTGACCTTTGGGGACTAGGGAAGTGTGGGTTTGGCCCCTAGGAGCGGGGCTCTGCGCCTCCTATTCTGGGTGGAAGAGCCTGGCAGCGCTCCAGTAAGCTGTTGCACGCAGACAGACCTTTCTTGCCTCCAATAGTGGCCTGGCGAGAGCTCAGTGCCGCGTGCGCCCCTGGCACTGCCAGCACGCCCAGAGCCAGCTTGGCGGCACCCTCCGGAAAACCCAGTGATCTATGGGGCCTCCATGAAGGCCCCCACGTGGGCTGGCTCCAGGGGTCTCAGGAAGCATCACGATGCAGGACCCTTGCCAGGGGGGGCTGGGGGGCCCTTCACTCAGCGCTCTGTTCCTGTGCAGGCTCGCGGCCAGCATGGCCCCCACACTGCAGCAGGCGTACCAGAGGCGCTGGTGGATGGCCTGCACCGCTGTAGTGGAGAATCTCTTCTTCTCTGCCGTGCTTCTGGGCTGGGGCTCCCTGCTGATCATGCTCAAGAACGAGGGCTTCTATTCCAGCATGTGCCCAGGTATGCCCAAGAAGGGGACCGTTGGGCTGGGAGAGGGGTAGCAGAGAGGGTTGGTGGACCCTGGAGAAGGACAGGTGGCTGAGCGGACAGAAATCTGGGTTGCTTAAACTGGAGCACTGGACAGGAAGTTGGACTGCCCACTTCTTGACCTCTTCAAACTTCATCTAGAGAATGGGTGGCACTCTACCTGGTTTATTTCATCCTGACTGCTGGTATCCTGTTGGGCATGCAGATCCTGGGACTGACTGGCAGGGTCCTAAGCCTCTGATAGCCTCAGGTCTAGAGCAAGATATAGACTTCTAGAAGGGGACTGGCTAGAGCTAATTGGTGAGGAATTTCTGACTAGGACTAAATAAGGCCCAGGAGAACCTACAAAGTGGATTGACCAAAAAGGGCCTGCACTCCTTTTTCAGGACCTTTGAGCCCCCGTGTCTTCAAATCACCCATTTGTACAAAGTAATAGCTTTATTTCCTCTAGGCCGGGCATTGTAGATGGTTTCTATTTTCCATTTCAATAACCATGACTTTGTGTGATCCCCAGGGAGTGGGAATTCTAACATTCCATTTCTAAGGTCATCTAACCATATCTAACAAAATACTGCCCTGGGCTATCTGCTGGAAAGACATCTTCTTTTTCCGAGGGGAGCTGTGCCAACAAGCTCTGCCTAAGGACCTGGATGGATGTGGAATTTGGCCCTTCCCTTTATTCTGTTCCTCCAGCCTCCATACTGAGGAGCAGGTATTTGGAGAAAGACCAGGTTGAGTTTGAATTCCAGCTTCTAACACTTTTACCATCTGGGTGACATCAGTGAGTTCCTTAAAACACAGCTTCAAAGGCTTGGGCTGCAAAATGGGAATAATATGTATTCAGTGGGGGTGCTGTGAGTCAATGGTGCTTGATAAATATTAGTGTCTTCTTGGCTTTACTTGGCCCCTCCACGTAACTCACTCGGGGCACCTACCCTGGCTGTGGGAGAAAGCTGAGGCCTTGGGGGTGTCGCTGGAGAGGTGTTGATCTCTGCTCTGGGCAGCACTCACTCCACCACAGGCTGCTGTGCCCCTGCCATGTTATCTGTAAGGAAGCAGCAGGTGGCATCAAGGGATGGCCCCAATTACGGGGTAATGAGTGCTGGAGGAGGTAGAGATTAGCGTTGGCAGCTGGCCTGGGGAGGCAAGTTGGGTCAGGAGGAGAGGGCTTGGGATGAAGTGATAGCTGTTCCAGGGTGGCTGAGAGAACCAGGCAAAGAGCTAGAAGGGTTTGGGGAAGCCCTGTTTGCAAACGGAGGTAGGGAGCCCAGGTCCCCTCAGACTTGCTTACCCTGGAAACTAGTGAGGACTTGTCTTTGTGGCCTTGATGCCTGTCACTCTAGTAGCTTCTTCCTGTCTTCTCACCTTTTTGAAAATAAATCAACTTAATTTTTAAATTTTTTCTCTCTATTGATTTTAGAGAGAGAGGAAGGGAGAGGGAGATACAAACATCAATGTGAGAGAGAAACATTGATCGGCTACCTCCTGCATGCCCCCCACTGGGGATCGGGCCCACAACCTGGCGTGTGTCCTGACTGGGAATCGAACTGGTGACCTCTTGGTGCATGGGTCGACGCTCAACCACTGAGCCACACCAGCTGGCTGGGCTAAATCAGCTTTATTGAAGGTTTGACATATTTGTACACCTCAGGAGCCATCACCATAATCAATATTTAATATAGAATATTTTATCACCCCCACACTCCTGCTTCTCTTTTGCTGCCCACTCCGCTACCTGAGTTTATCTATTTATTTTTAAAATTTTTTTATCCTCATCCGAGGACATTTTTGCATTTATTTTCAGATAGAGCAGGAGGGAGAGAGGGAGGAAGAGAGAGAGAGAAACATCGATGTGAGAGAGACACATCAACTGGCCGCCACCTGCGGGACCCCAACCAGGGCCAGGGATGAACCACAACCTAGGTACATGCCCTTAGCGGGATCCGAACCCAGGACTTTCTGGTCCATGGGCCAACGCTCTAACTGCTGAGCCAAACTGGCCAGGAGTCCACCTGAGTTTTAAAAAATAGGATAAGAGCTTTAGTAAGACATGTCACATGTCTTAGTAATAGATACAGGGATGTAAAGTATAGCACAGGGAATATAGTCAATAATATTGTAATAACTATGTATGGTGGCATAGGGGTAGTAGACCTATCAGGTGATCACTTCATAATGAGCATAAACGTCTAATCACTATGTTGTACACCTGAAACTAGTATAATATTGTATGTTAACTGTAATTGAAAAATACAAAAATTAAAAATTAAAAAGCTATTAAACATAAAGAAATGGTCTTTGAAGAAATAGTTGCAGTTGAATAAATATACTCAATGCCTGCAAAGAAAAAAAACAACAACCAAAAATAAAGTATACGATTTAATGGTTTGTAGTTGTGCCACCATCATCACAATTTCAAACATTTTCTTTACCCCAAAGGTAACCCTATACCCATTAGCAGTACCCACACTCATCACCCCCTTCTACTTCCAATTGCTCATCTACTTTCTGTCATAGGTCTGTCTATGACAATAATAGATTTGCATATTCTGAACATTTCATATAAATGGCATCTTATAATATGTGGTCTTCAGTGACAGTCTTTTTCACTTGGCATGATGCTTTCCAGGTTCATCTATGTTGTGGCACATGTCTGGACTTGGTTTCTTCCCATTGTTGGGTAAAACTCCATTGTATGGGTCTACCACACCATCCACTCATCAGTTGATGGCCATGGGGCTCCTTTCCACTTTTTGGTTTTTATGAATAATGCTTCTATTTGTGTACAGGTTTTTGTGTGGACACACACTTTCCTTCCCCTTAGGTATATACCTAGGAGTGGAATTGCTGGGCCATAGGGTGACTCTGTGTTTAAACTTTTGAGGAACTGTTAGACTGTTTTCCAAAGTGTCTGCACCAGTTTACATTCCCACTAGTGGTATATGAGGGTTTTAGTTTCTCCACAACTTAGACAACACTGGTTATTACTTATCTTTTAAGTCCTCACCCGAAGACTTTCTCCATTGATTTCTAGATAGAATGAAAGGGAGGGAGGGGGACAGAGAGAGAGAGAGAAAGAGAGAGAGAAAGGAAAAACGCATTGATGTGAGAAAGACACATCGATTGGTTGCCTACCACATGTACCTGACCAGGGCTGGGGAACAAACTTGCAACCCAGGTATGTGCCCTTGACTGGGAATCAAACCCCAAACCCTTTGGTCTGCAGGCCAACGCTCTAACTGATGAGCCAAACTGACTAGGGCTTATCTTTTTCATTATAGCCATTCTAGTGGACATAAAATGTTAACCTCTTGTGATTTTGACTTGGGATTTCCCTGATGACTAATGATGTTGGGAATCTTTATGTGCTTCTTGACTATTGGTACATCTTCTTTGGAGAAACGTCTATTCAGATCCTTTGCCCATTTTTAGTTGCATTGTTTGCCTTTTTATTATTGAGTTGTAAGAGTTTTTTATATTCCAGATACAAGTCCCTTATAAGATAATGATTTGCAAAATTTTTCTCCCTCTGCGGGTTGTGTTTTCACGGTGTCCTTTGGAGCATAAACGTTTTCAATATTGATGACATCCAATCGATGTAGTTTTCCTTTTGCTATTTGTGTTTTGGTATCATATTTAAGAAACCATTGCCTGCCCAGCCTGTGTGATTCAGTTGGTTGAATGTTGTTCTGTGGACCAAGAGGTCACCAGTTCAATTACTATTCAGGGCACATGCTCAAGTTTTGGGCTTGATCCCCAGTGAGGGGTATGCAGGGATCAGTTGATGGATGTTTCTATCCCTCTCTCCCTATCCCTTCCTATTTCTCTCTAAAAAAATCAATAAAAACATTTATTTACTTATTTTTTATCCTCACCCTAGGACATTTTTGCATTTATCTTCAGATAGAGCAAGAGGGAGAAAGGGAGGAAGAGAGAGAAAGAGAGAGAGAGAGAGAGAGAGAGAGAGAGAGAGAGAGAGAATATGAATGAGAATGATGTGAGAGAGACACATCGACCAGCTGCCACCCACACAACCCCATCTGGGGCCGGGGACAAACCGCAACCGAGGTACTTGCTCTTAGCGGGAACCGAACCCAGGTCTCTCTGGACTGTGGGCCGACGCTCTAACCGCTGAGCAAAACTGGCCAGGGCAAAACATTAAAAAAAATATAAGAAAGAAACCATTGCCTGATCTAAGGTCACAAAAGTTTAACCTTATATTTCATCCTGAGAGTTGTATAGTTTTAGCTCTTACATTTGGATCTTTAGTCCATGTAGAGTTAATTTTTGTATGTGGTGTGAGACATCCACTTGGTGTTTTGAGTTGCTCAGAAATGAGTTTGCATCTGAGCCTGCTTGTGTGGGATCACTAGAGGTGACTGAAGTAGACCGTTCTATTCTCAGAACTTATTTGTCCACTCTTGGCAAACAGGGCAAATGTCTCTCTACCCTTACCTCTCTTCCCTTCAAGGGGCTCCATTCTCAGTCCTTGAGACATCAGGCTGATTGGGGGTGCTATACTCCATTCTACCTCAATCATGCTGCCAGATCAAAAATGCCTACTTTCTGTTTCTTGAAGCCCCATTCATTGTGGTCTCAGCCTCTCTCTATCCAGGATCAGCCCAGGAATACGTGTCCCCATAGGGAGTGGAAACAGGAAGGCAGCGTCACCTCCAACTCTGCTATGGGCCAGTCATCTGATGTGAGCCAGTTACTTAATTTTCTTACTATCTCAGTTAGTGTATCTATAAAAAGCGACCAATACTCACTACTTTAGGGCTGTTGTGAAAATTAAATGAGAGCAAGACTGCAAAATTCAGACAACTGGTGGAGGTTGTTATGTTCTGGACTCAGTTTTGCCAGCATTTACTGTGTGACCTTAGGCAAATCACCTACCCTCTCTGTATCTCCACTTCCAAGACTGTACAGTGATGTGAGGACCAGATGATGTCATTTTAACAAATGTGGAGCTCATTACTGAGGTGTTTCTTAGTGTTGGCGTTGGGGTTCCCTGGCCACACCCTCTGTCTTCTCAGTGCTTTCTGCTCTCCCTCTGTTGAGGTACCCCCCTGCGTGAATGGTTGACCCACTTGTAGGGCGTCACAGCTAAAGAGGACTGTGTCACTCAGAATTTAGGCAGGGGCAGTTCAGTTTATCACACACTGCTTTGTATCCCACATAAGTGCCCAAATAAGAAAACAATGGCTCAAGTTCATTAAGCAGTTACTATTTGCTAGTGAGATCATTCGTCCTCACAATAAATTTGTGATGTAGGTGTGTGATGTGATGAGAAAGCTGAAGCTCAGAGAGACTGAGTAATTTGCCTGAGGTCACACAGCTAATAAATAGGAGCAGAGTGAGTATTCAACCCCAGACCTAACTCTGGACCCTTTATCCTAGGCCTGGCGGAAATAGTGTAGATGTCTCTCCCTGACCTCCTTCAGCTTAGGTCCTCCTGTAGGAGTCCAGATGTAGGCTAGTTTAGCTGGCTACGGGAGTTTTGGTGAGAGCACCTGTGTCACTTGCAGGAAAGTGAAGCAGCGGGGTGAGGAAGTGCTCACTTCCTGGAGACAAAGAAAACAGGATCATTTTGTGGGTTTGTGTGCTCAGCAATCCCCAGAGCCAGCCTGTCAGGGGGCTGCCACCACTATGCCCATTTCACAGGTGGAATAACAGAGCCTCAGGGTTTCAGCAGCACAGCCACGCTCTGGACTCCAGAGGCAGAATGCTTAACCTTGACCCTGTTTTCCAGTGTTTCTCAGACCTGCTCATTTGTTGTTCACCTTCACGATTTTACTGTTTCTGGTGTCAGAGGTGCTGTTATTTACTTAATACTGCCTTTTAAATCAACCCACTTAAAAATAATTAACCTCATTTTAAAGTGTCATATGCTTGGAATCTTGGGTTTGATATTATTTACACACATGCATATATACCTCATACTCGTTTCTAATACATTCATATGTACACATATGTTTCTAATATACATATATATATGTTCCTCTATACATGTGTATATCTTTGTATGTATGTATATGTGTGTGTGTGTGATACTCATTCAAATAGTTAATAACTATAAACCATGAAACCCATTCCCTGTGCCTCTTAAACCCACCTTGAGCACCCCACCTGCTATGCATACCACACTTGGGGAAACACTGTTTTCCCTGGCTCCTAAGCCTAACCCCATCGCTAACCTAACTCCTTGACTTGTCTGTGGAAGTGGGGCAGTTGGGTTAGATTTCAAAGACCTCTTCTGTTGTCTTGACATGGGGAGAGTCTAAGAGGTCTTTGCATCTTGGCCTGCTTCCCTCTTGCTTCAGAAGTCTGGCTTTCTTCAACCACACAGAGTGATCAGGCCTCAGGAACTAGCTCGGATTAGTCCAACTCACAAGAGGCTGATCGATAAACCAGAGAAACAAACGCATTCATTGACCTGGAGCTATTATCAACCCATGGGGCTGGACTTCTGCACCCGTGGAAGGGCACACTGACTTGGCAGCAGGCACTTGGGCTTGGGAAACTAATGAAGCTGCCTTCTTCAGGACAGAGAGGCCCTATGGTTGGTGCAAAGGAGAAGCGTTGGCTCTGGACGTGGTCTTGACTTTGAATCTGAGCCTGCCTGTCAGAAGCTGTGAGGCTGTGAGCTGCTTTGCTTCTCGGAGCCTCATCCTCTATAAAATGGGAATTGTTGTTGTGGGGGTTAAATGAGATACTATATGAAAAAGCCTCACACAGTGTTAATTAATTTAGAGCTACTGGGACGGTTTGTAAGAGAAAGTGTCTTTTGATTGTCAAAAGTGTCTTTTGATTGCAGGGGCAGTGTCTAATTCAGGGGCTGCAAACTCAAATGACAACAGAGGCCAGCCAGTTAATCGGCAAATCAGGGCAACTGTAAGATGGGTATGTCTGAGAGCTAAAAGTGAGGTGAGGACTTGGGTGACTTTCAGGGGGCAAGCCCTGGTGAAGAGAGGTGGCTCCACTCGGCCCCAGCAATGGCCAGATCTGATTTCTTACAGAGAAGCCAGAATTCTGGATTTTTATGTAATAGCTCCTGATTTTAGACTGGCACCCAATTAAAATTTTCCAAGCCACACAAAATTTGTGTGTGAGCCATTGCTGGTCCTCTGTTTGCAGCCTCTAGCCTAAATTACCTTTGCATTTCTTCCTGCTTTACCCACTGTCCCAACAGAGTGCTTGCCATACAGTGGATGTCCAATAAGTGACTATAGATGGAATAAATGGGCACAGACTAACCTGGCGGAGAAATGAACAGTGATCATAAAGATCACTAAATCATGGATCAGCCTGAACCCCAATGGTTGTGTGGTCTAAACCCCTAACCACTTCTTCCAGGGGCCTGAGCACCCTTCCCAGCTTCCTCAGCAGCTCGTATCTCCTGACAGGATACTCACCAAGGTCCAAGGTGTTTCCTCGCCTGGTTGGTCCACATTCACGATCTGAATTTTTTTTTATGTTCTTCCTTATGTTAATACACAGATCACTTCACCCTTCTGCCACCTGCAAGTCCTTCAACTATCAGAACTCAGGGTCATGGTCCCCATCCGGAGCAGGGGCTCCCCCACCCCAACCCCCAGTGTCCAGGCACTATCACATCCTCCTATCACAGCACCTGTCACTCTTTAAATCAGCATCCATTTGTTTATTAGCTAATATAAACCCCAGGAGCACTGAGAGCTTCCTGTCTTATTCACTGTGGGATCCTCAGCTCCTAGAGAAGAGGTTGACCACATCTGACCCTCCGGGGCGGGGGGGGCTTTATCTCTCCTTCACCAGCTATTTCGGGAGCACCTTCTCTGGGCCAGGCACTGTGCACTGTGTTCTGTTGGAGAAGGCCTCTGTTCGCCTTCTCCAACAGAATCTCCTAAGGAGCCTGTGGGTTCTGCATTCTCTGCTCCCTTTTACAGGCAGGGGGCCTGGGGTTCAAAGAGGGGGAGTTTCTGTCTAAGGTTGCACAGCTAGTAAGGATGGTGGTGGGAAGGCAGACCCTGGTCTGTCTGCCTTCCAGGTGCACCTTGAGTTTGCCCTTGGCAATGATGCCTAAGTAACAAACAGGCAGTGGAGCTGCCACCTCATGGCTCGCTGAGCACTGAGTGAAGTGAAATCACCCTCCCCCCACCACAAGCCTTTTTCATTGACTTGTCACAACTCCAAGTTGGCAGTTTACGTGGAGGACAGGGCCTCCAGGTGAACTTCTGAAGGATATTGGAGGGCAGCACCCTGGTCCTAATTCTGTGCCTCAGTTTTATCATCTGGAGATTGGGGAGATACTTTATTGGCTGACTCATGGGGCTGTTGAAAGTTAATTCAGTGACCATGGAGAACAATGCCTAGAACATAGCTAAATGGTCTGTAAATATTAGCTATTACTTTTGATCAGAATGTCATTTATGGGGAAAGCTTCATCTAAAGTTGAAGTGAATTCTTGTTACGTCATCTAAGCATCACTCACTGATTTTGTTCCCAAATCTGAGGGTGCTTCCTGTTGGCAGTCTGCCCACTAGACGCTTGGACATTGAGTGAATCTTACAACTTGGTAAATACTTTGATCTCCATGATCATGTTTGAGCTGGTTGAGGCTTCTGATTAGACTTCCCCTGGGTGAGATACCAGTTGCTATCATTTATGGAGCCCCTTCCCCACCAGAGTAGATATGACTCTAGGCCACCCCCAAAGTCACCAGGCTGGCAGTGAATCAGAGGCATGGTATTTGAGTACCGGACCCCTGATCCCAGGCCCCTCTCTCCTATGCCCAGCTGCTCCGGCTATTATGTGCTGAGCCCTACTTTCCCCTCCTTAGCTAAGAACACCACTAACATCACCCAGGATGCACAACCCCGGTGGCCCAGCTGTGACCATCAGGAAGAGATGCTCAACCTGGGCTTCACCATCGGCTCCTTCGTGCTCAGTGCCACCACCCTGCCACTGGGGATCCTCATGGACCGCTTTGGCCCCCGGCCCACACGGCTGGTTGGCAGGTGAGGTGGCTGGGCCAGGCCTTGGGGAGCTGGAGGGCAAGGACTGCTGCTGCAGGGGGAGGGGAGGTTCAGTGTTCATAGTCACCACCCCCCCATCTCCACAGTGCCAGCTTTGCTGCATCCTGCACCCTCATGGCCCTGGCCTCTCGGGACACCAAAGGTGAGAGGTCTGGCCTCTGGTGCCACCATGAGAAAAGAGTGGGTGGGATAAAGGTGATGTTTACCCCACCTTCTGCCCTTGGTCTCCCACAGCTCCCAAAAGCTCTCATCCACCCCTCTCCCCTTCCCAGTTCTGTCTCCATTGATATTCCTGGCGCTGTCCTTGAATGGCTTTGGTGGCATCTGCCTAACATTCTCTTCACTCACGGTGAGTATGACAGGCTCTGGCTTGGCAGCAGGGCACTCAGGAGTGGGTGGGGGTAGGAGTGAGTGAAGGTGAGAGTGGAGAGGGCCAGTGGACGAAGATCACGTGTGTGCGCGCGTGCCCTGAGCCCACACTGTCTGTGGAGCTCTGTTCTAGGCACTGGGGCTGCAGCACACACAGCACTGAACGTCCTCAGCTTCCTGGAGCTTGCATTGGGGGTTTGGGGGAGAGGCAATCCCCCAAACAAGTGCACTAATAAATAACATCTGTAGTCATAGTGCTGGAAAGAAAATAAAACTGGATAATGCGATAGTGACAGGGAGGGGACAGCTTGGGACAGTATGTGTTTGTCTCACTGTGTACTTGTGGTGCCGTCCACTGGAAAGGGCACAGGTGAGAAGGCACAGGTATTTGTGCGTGTATTTGATTGAATCATGAAATTGCCAACACTTGACTGCACTTGACCCACAAAAACGGTTTTATCACATGGCTTGATCTCTGAGGCATGTATGTGAGTTTTGATGTGTGTTACTTTAAGTGTACATGCTTGTGGGCCAGTGAGTATAAAGGTTCAAGGCTTACGAGTGTGTGGTGAGGGGAGCGGTTGCTGTCTGGGCTAGCCTCTGGCTGGAGTTGGTTATTTATTTCGGATAAGGGTTGCCTGACCACCAAACTTCCTGTTTTTGGCTGAATTTCACCCCAGCCCTTCTTCAGTCCAGCCTGGGACATTTCACAACTCTCTAAGGAAGCAAATCCCTTCCTCCCCGCGTCCAACCTCCGCAGCCCCTTCACCACGCTGTGCATCTTGGCTCAGGGCCCCAGATCCCTTCTCACCTGCCCTGCGCAGCGGCGTGGCCGGGGACCTAACCTTAGACCCGGTCCTGGCCGGCCTAGGCGTCAGGCTTGGGGGGCTCTGCCTGCGGACCGCCCACTGCTCCAACCCCGGCCCTGCGCTAGCAATTTCCAGCCAATGGCAGGGCCTGGCGCCAGCCCCGCCTCCGGCCCCGCCCCCCAGGCCTCTGCGCAGCTCGGATCCCGCCAGGACAGATCCAAGCCAGGACGTCCAGTGCTGCCCAGCGTGTCAGCCTTGGGTTAGCGGAGCTGGCCTTGCGCCCTGCTGGGTGGAGACAGCGCCCTGGGACCCTTGGGTTGGGGGGCGGGGTGGCGGGGCGGTGTCAAAGGCCTGGCTGTTCTCGGTCCTGGCACTTCCCCTAGTGGCCTTGGCAGCGTGCCTTGCAGATACAGGTGCCAGGGAAACCTGTTCCGAGTGGGGGTCAGCCTGGCCCCACACCCTTTTCATAGCTACTTGGAAGTTATTGGGGGACTCAGTTCTCTGTGTTTACCCACCTTCCTTTCCAGGGCTATTTGAGGTTCCCTTCTGGGCTTCGGTTTTCCTCTCTGTGGAGACGGTAAAAGCCTCTAAGGCCCTTCTCAGCTATGGGATCTATTGACCTGGGGAGGATGGGGGGGCCTGAGTGGGGTGTACACAGAGGGTGGCATGACTTTGTTTTCCCCTACCCTGAGGGCCTGGCTCAGGCCAGTGAGCAGAACACACAATCAGTTAATTCTCTACTGGTGGGAACTCTGTGCATGTCAGAGCCACCTCCCTGACACCTGGCCTCCCTTAGTCCCACCCTCACCTCCCTAGCTGTCCCATGACTTGTCCCAGCTCAGCAGAAACTGTAGATTGGGGCATTTGGGGCCACTGGGAAGGTTAAGGGGCACCATTTCGTTACAGAGCCAGCCCTGGTCACAGCCTTGGGTCTGGAGTAGAACTGGAATGGCCAGACAGGGGAGAAAGTCATTACCGTGCTCTGTGAACTTGAGTACATTTCTTCCCTCTCTGGGTCTCAATTTTCTCTTCCATCAAATGAATTGCATTAGATTAGTACTTTTAAAATATTCATTGATTTTCCAATTACAGTTGATATGCAATATTATATCACTTTCAGGTGTACAACACAGTGATTTGACATTTATATACCTTAAAGTACATAAGTGTTTCTTACACATTAATTTCATGGGTTATTAAGAGGCATCACAGGGTAAAGTGGCTCCATAAACAATGAACTTGGGAAACCCTGGGAGTTAAACAAGATTGGCAAATTTCTCTGTGCGAGTCCTTTTTGGAGCCTTTTAGATGCTAGAGTGCCTCGGGAGACAGTAGGAGGGGTTAGAGCAGTTTCCGACATTGATTTGCCTTAGAACTTGTCTGTGGTGTCTCATGGGGCTAGTGTTCTTGGAGCTCACTGTGAGGACACTGGGTGGGTGCATCCAAGTTTCTCAGGCAGGGCTGGGAAGGAAATGGGAGGCCTGGGTGTGTGTCAGGGTCTCCCCTGCTCACAGGCACTGTCCTCCTCCCTCAGCTGCCCAACATGTTCGGCAACCTGCGCTCCACTATCATGGCCCTCATGATCGGCTCCTACGCCTCTTCTGCCATCACGTTCCCAGGAATCAAGGTTTGGAACAGCTTGGGGGGATAGTGAGGTCATTGTGTTTTCTTTTTTTTGCCTTGACATAAGAACTGGGTGGGGCGAGGGGTGTATGTAGTGGCTGGAGCCTTGTGACTCAGTTCCTGCCATGCAGAGGTCAGTTCCAACCACCTCTGGGAAAAGCACTGAAGCGTCGTGGGAAGAGTCCAGGTGCTGTTGCCCACCAGTGGGTCTGATTTCTCTGTTCTTCTCTTTTCCTTCACTGTTGTCCTAGTCCAGGCCTCCACCCTCTGTCCTGGGCCAGCACAGGCTTTCTCAGCGGGTCTCCTTGCCTCTGATCATTTCTTTCCCACTTGTCATTCACACGACTTACAGAGTGATCGTAGATGGAGCACTCACTCACTCACTCACTCTGCTTCACCTGCAGAATCAAGTCCAACCTGTTTGTAGGCATTTAAGGCTCTTGGTTCTCTGGCCTTATCCAATCTTTCTGGCCACATCTCCTTCCCCTGCCCTGGAGAGGCTGGGTTCAAGGTCACAAAGCTAGTCCATGCCAGGCCAGACCCTAGGCAGGTCAGCAAGGTGGACCCGGAGCCAGAAGGCCCGAGTTCTAGTTCTGGGCAGGTTTGGGGTCTTGTTTCTTCCTCTGATATCAAACGGTAACAAAGCTCCCTTTCAACTGGCCCACAGTATGCCCCTTACATTTCACCTCGAGCAGTTCATTTAGTAGTTTAGAAGGCACCTGCCCAGCATCCCCAGAGGAGTTCACAGTGTACATTGGGGGCGGGGGGGGGGGGTGGTGGTGGTGGCTGCCAGCTGGTCAGGTAGCAGCAAGCATGGAAGGTGGTGGTTCTCCCTTCTCTTCAGCTAAGACAGCGGGGTTTGAGGAGCCACAGGTATCCCCACTCATTTGGGATGTGGCCCTTTGAAGCTCTGTGCTGCCCTTAGGGAAGAAAGAGTCCCAAGGCCCAAGGAGCCCCCAGCAGGAGCAGTTTTCCTGAGCAGCACTGGAAATCTGAGCAGGAGCGGGGTGGGGCGGGGGGGTGGGGGGTAGACACCAGTCCTCCCAGGGTGGCTGGGAGGACAGAAGAGTGACACCATCTCCCAAACCTGGCTTCCCCAGCAGAGGGGCTGACGCAGTGGCACAGAATCCCAATCCGTTCAGACCTCCTTGTCCTAGGGTAGGAGGCTGTGTGCAGAGCACGCCCCCCCCCCCATCAGCACCTGTGAAAGGTGAGATAAGGCTTGTTAGCTTGGGTTTGTCCTTCCCCCGGGGAACAGGCCAGGAAGGGGCAGGGTAAACACGGTCAGGCCTGGTAAACCTAAGCCTTCGTTCTCTTTTGTACATAAAACGAAATGACATTTTGGTGTTAAACAAACACGTACAGAGTCATAGGCAAAATCTCTGTGTCTTTTTATGATGATCATGAAGACTTCAAAGACTCTGAGCTGTAGTGGGCAACTGGGGTACCTCATGGGAACTACTTCACCCCACTCTCGGGTGAAGCAGTGGAAAGGGAAGAGGAGGGTGGTGGCTTCTAGGCCTGACTCCAAACTTCCTGCCTTGGTTTCCTCATCTTCAAACTGGTTGCAAGGAGTGGGGTAGAGGAGACCTTCTCTGAGGCCTCTGAGGCTGGGGCTGTACCTCGGCTGGAAGAGGGGGTTCTGGAGCCGCTCGACCTCCCCACGGTCCGCCTCCTCTCCCACAGCTGATCTACGATGCTGGCGTACCCTTCGTGGTCATCATGTTCACCTGGTCGGGCCTGGCCTGCCTCATCTTTCTGAACTGTGCCCTCAACTGGCCCAGTGAAGCCTTTCCCGCTCCTGAGGAAGGCAGCTACAAGTGAGTGGCTCTGCAGGGCCCTGGCGGGGCGGGGGGCTCCCTTCTGCAGAAGGGAGGCCAGGGGTGCGGTGGCACCGTGGATGGAGTGAGCTTTGAAGGCAGAGGCCTGGGTTTACAGGTCGCCTAAGTTGTCTGAGCTCTGCTTTGTCATTCTTACTGTGGGCCTGATCCTACACACCCACGGGTGTTTGGAATAGACCTGGCTCATAAGAGGCAGTCAAAACATGGGGACTGTTTTTATTATTATCCTTTCTGGGTTTGGAGAACAGGATCAGAGTAGGAGGGACCCCAACAATAGCCATGTGGACCCAGGAGGGGGATCCGAAGGAATCATATATTCCACCCTCTGTGGGGCAGCCTGAGCACCAGCTTTCCCCAGCTCATCAGTTCACTAGGACGAGAGTGTGTGTGTGTGAGTGTGATTGTGTGAGAGGGTGAGGGTGTGTGTGAGTGTGTGTACGAGTGTGTGTGAGTGTGAGAGTATGTGAGTGTGAGTGTATGTGAGTGTGATTGTATGTGAGAGGGTGAGGGTGTGTGTGAATGAGTATGAGTGTGTGAGTGTATGTGAGTGTGAGTGTATGTGAGAGTGTTGTGTGTATGTGAGAGTGTTATGAGTGTGTGAGTGTGAGTGTATGTGAGTGTGAGTGTATGTGAGAGTGTTATGAGTGTGTGTGTGAGTGTATGTGAGTGTGAGTGTATGTGAGTGTGAGAGTGAGAGTGTATGAGTGTGATTGTGTGAGAGGGTGAGGGTGTGTGTGTTTGTATGAGTGTGTGTGAGTGTGAGAGTGAGTGTGAGTGTATGTGAGTGTGATTGTATGTGAGAGGGTGAGAGTGTGTGTGAATGAGTATGAGTGTGTGTGTATGAGTGTGAGTGTATGTGAGAGTGTTATGAGTGTGTGAATGTGAGTGTATGTGAGTGTGAGTGTATGTGAGAGTGTTATGAGTGTGTGTGTGAGTGTATGTGAGTGTGAGTGTATGTGAGTGTGAGAGTGTATGAGTGTGATTGTGTGAGGGTGAGGGTGTGTGTGAGTATGAGTGTGTGAGTGTATGTGAGAGTGTGTATGAGTATGATTGTGTGAGAGGGTGAGGGTGTGTGTGTGAGAAAGGTTGTGAATATGAGTATGAGTGTGTGAGTGTGAGTGTATGAGAGTGTGAGTGAGTATGATTGTGTGAGAGGGTGAGGGTGTGTGTGTGAGAAAGGTTGTGAATATGAGTATGAGTGTGTGAGTGTGAGTGTATGTGAGAGTGTGTGTGAGTATGATTGTGTGAGAGGGTGAGGGTGTGAGTGTGTGAGTGTATGTGAGTGTGAGTGTATGTGAGAGTGTGTATGATTGTGTGAGAGGGTGAGGGTGTGTGTGTGAGAAAGGTTGTGAGTATAAGTATGAGTGTGTGAGTGTGAGTGTATGTGAGAGTGAGAGTGTATGAGTGTGATTGTGTGAGAGGGTGAGGGTGTGTGTGATTATGAGTGTGAGAGTGTATGTGAGTGTGAGTGTATGTGAGTGTGTGTATGAGTATGATTGTGTGAGAGGGTGAGGGTGTGTGTGAGAAAGGTTGTGAGTATAAGTATGAGTGTGTGAGTGTGAGTGTATGTGAGTGTGATTGTATGTGAGAGGGTGAGGGTGTGTGTGAATGAGTATGAGTGTGTGAGTGTATGTGAGTGTGAGTGTATGTGAGTATGAGTGTATGTGAGAGTGTTATGAGTGTGTGAGTGTGAGTGTATGTGAGTGTGAGTGTATGTGAGAGTGTTATGAGTGTGTGAGTGTGAGGGTATGTGAGTGTGAGTGTATGTGAGTGTGAGAGTGTATGAGTGTGATTGTGAGAGGGTGAGGGTGTGTGTGAGTATGAGTGTGTGAGTGTATGTGAGTGTGAGTGTATGTGAGAGTGTGTATGAGTATGATTGTGTGAGAGGGTGAGGGTGTGTGTGTGAGAAAGGTTGTGAATATGAGTATGAGTGTGTGAGTGTGAGTGTATGTGAGAGTGTGTGTGAGTATGATTGTGTGAGAGGGTGAGGGTGTGTGTGAGTATGAGTGTGTGAGTGTATGTGAGTGTGAGTGTATGTGAGAGTGTGTATGAGTATGATTGTGTGAGAGGGTGAGGGTGTGTGTGTGAGAAAGGTTGTGAGTATGAGTATGAGTGTGTGAGTGTATGTGAGAGTGTGTGTGAGTGTGTGTATGAGTGTGTGAATGTGTGAGTGAGTGAGTGTGAGTGTGTGAGTGTATGTGAGAGTGTGTATGAGGTGCTTCACAACCAGGCACATAGGGTGCCCATCAAACAGCTGGTATTTATTTTCTCCTGTATGCCAGGCACTGTGCTTGGCCCTCGTGCCATCCTCAAACAGCCCTATGACGTGGATTCTGCCATTAACTCCGTTAGTAACAAAGGCCAGGAACAAAGTGACTTTCCTGAGGTCATGCCTTTCAGAGGGGAGTGTACCAGGCTCTCTGACTCCAGTCTGAGTTCTTAATGCTGCCTCCATGGCAACAGCCCCAGTGGAAAACAACTCAGCCACCCTTCATTTACTGGGCGCTAGGCTGGTCCCTGGGCCTTGCTCTGAGGGACTGAGATGTGAGCCCCGCACTAGTGAGCTCATCAAGGGGAATGTTAATGCTGGGCAAAAGGGTGTCAGCACCCCAGGGTGACCGGGACAGCCCCCTAGAGGAAGCTGCTGCAGGTGGGCTTTGCAGGGCTGGTTCCTACTTGCTCCGGCCGGGCTGCCGGCAGGAAGAAGATCAAGCTCACCGGGCTGGCCCTGGATCACAAGGTGACAGGCGACCGCTTCTACACCCATGTGACCAATGTGGGGCAGCGGCTGAGCCAGAGGGCCCCCAGCATGGAGGAAGGTGACATCTTCTCCCAGGATGCTCGTGGCACCTCAGAGAACCCTCGTGACAGTGAGTGTCTGGTCAAAGTGCCAGCCTTGGGGACTGGGGACGACGGGCACTCATGCCCAAGGGCTCATTTCTCCCCTCTTTAGTTCTCACAACACCACATAATGTAGGTGGGCAATCCCCATTTACAGAATGGGGGGGTGGGGAATGGGAATCAGAGCTCAGAAAACTCTGGGAAGTTCAGATCTTGGGGTATTCTGCTGGATTCCTGGGGTGAGGGAGAGAGGATGGGGCAGGGTCTCCAGGCCTGTGGGGCAACTGCTTTCATCAGGGCTCCCTGCGATGGCTGAGCCTCTTGCATCAGGTGAGCGGGGCCCTCCAACACCAGGCTGGCCAGTGCCCCCTGCTGGCCCCAGGGGGAGCTGCAACCTGCCTTCTGCCTGGGCCACTTCCCAAGGTGTCAGCTCTGAGGTTAGTGGCGGGAGCACCCGCCTTGGAGTCAGGAGCTGGGGGTTTGAGTCCCGCACCCCTGTTACATGCCATATGACTTGGATAGGTCACTTAACTCTGCTCTCACTTTCCTCATCTCTTAAACCAGCACTGATAACACCCATCTCACAGGGAAGTTAGATGTGAGGACTGAATGAAGCCATGGACGCAGAAACCTTTTGTGAAATGCAGAACTGCCGTGCAGTTGCTAGGTGGTATCCCCCTGCTGGTCCTTCAACAGCTGAATTACGGGGGCATGAGCTGAATCTGGCTGACCGGCAGCTCCCAGCCCCGTGAGCTCGGGCAGGTCACTGGCCTCCCTGAGCCGCAGCCTCCCCTTCTGTAATACATGGCAAAGACAGGGGTGTTGCACAGTTGGATTAAATGGGATAATACGTGTCAAGTGTGCAGCACATAGTGTTTCATAAATAGTAGCTAGAGTTATTATTACCATACCAAGCATATGGTTTTACATCCAGAAGTCACCTGAAAATGTTTGGTTGAGATAGTTACAGAGCTGGGCAAGAACTTGGAGGCCAGTGAGTCTGAACCCTTGTTTTTGAAGAAACTAATTTCTATCCAAAGTCACAGAGTATCAGAGCCTTGGACATTCAGAGGGAAATGGAAGATCTGGGGCTCAGGGGTGGCTCCTGCTGTCTCCCCAGAGTCTGTCCCCTTCCGCAAGAGCCTCTGCTCCCCCATTTTCCTGTGGAGCCTCCTTACCATGGGCATAACCCAGCTGCGGGTCATCTTCTACATGGCTGCCATGAACAAGATGCTGGAGTTCCTCGTGACCGGCGGCCACAAGCAAGGTGAGGTGCTGCTGAGCCCACGGGGGACACAGGAGGGTCACCCTGGTTGTGCTCCCCTCACTCTGGCTTCTCCCCCTGCTCCTCCCAACAGAGACTATCGACCTGAAACAAAGAACAGAGGAGACAGGTAGGGGGTCGCAAACAGACCCTGGCCTGCACCCACCTTGCCATTGCGCACTTGGCAGGGAGATCTGATTCTGTGGGGTCAGAGGAAGGCTGTGTTGGCATTCCCTCTTCTCCACGGGAAGTGGGTGGTGCCCACTGGGCTGCTGGCTTCCCTCGTGCCAGCTCTTGACCCCACTTCCTTCCCACCCTGTCCAGTTGGATTCTACTCCTCCGTCTTTGGGGCCATGCAGCTGCTATGTCTGCTCACCTGCCCTCTCATCGGCTACATCATGGACTGGCGGATCAAGGACTGTGTGGACACCCCCACTGAGGGCATGGCCCTCGGAGATGCCAGGTGACCTGCACAGGGATGGTGGTAGTCAGATGGTGCTTTTCATTTTCTATGTGTTTTCACATCCAGCATCTTATTTCATTCTCCCAAGAGCCCTGAGAGAGCAGAGGTAGCTCCCCATTTTATAGATGAGGAAACTGAGGCTAAGAGGGGACACGACCTGTTTGATAAATACCGCTGACACTGAGTGCTGACTGTGTACTAGGCACCTTGCATTGTCTTATTTAGTCCTGCAACAGCTCTCTGAGGAAGGTACGTTATCCTCCTTTCACAAATGAAGACGCTGAGACACAGAAAGGGTAAGGAACTTTCCCAAGATCACAAGCGTTTAGTAGCGGGCTGCAGAACCTGTGTTATAAAAGGCACACTGCAAAGCATTCTCAAGGCTAGGAGGAGACAGAGTGCCAAAAGCCCATGGCCTTTGTCCTATGAGGCTGGGAGAGGGAGACAAAGAGAGGTGTCTAAGGAGTGATCGGTGGCGTCCCTTCCTGCCAGTGGTGCCCGGGCCTGGCACCAGCCTTCCTCCTCTGCCCTCCGCTCCTGGTGGCCAGAGTCTATGCGCAGGGCCCTCTGTCCAGGACCGATGCCAGCCTGCCCTCATCCCAGCCTACTGACCCCTCCCCTGAGCCAGCCTGGAGCCCAACCCTGCCACAGAGAGGGCCTTGCGGGGCAGTTGCATTCCTCCAGGCTGGTGGGCAGAGACACCTTCCCCATAGAGGTGGTGTGAGTGCTCCCCCTCCGCACCTTCCTTCCGAGTCTCAGATCTCAGTGTGTGAGTGACATCCTTGGGATCTCTGTCCAAATGCAGATTCCTGGGCCTCACACCCGAGAGTCTGCGGTCTGCAGTCTGGGCTGAGGCCCTGGAGTCTGCATTTTAAGAAGTCCCCAGTGATGCTGGTGTAGTTGGTGGGGGAGCCACACTTTAAGAAACGCAGGACTTGCCTGGCAGGTGTTGCTCAGTGGTTGAGCATTATCCTATGCACCAAGAGGTCGCTGGTTCGATTCCCGATTCTCGGTCAGGGCACATACCCCAGTTGCTGGCTAGATCCCCAGTGTGGGGGGGGGGGGGAGGAGGAGCATACAGAAGACAGCCGATTGATGTTTCTCTCTCATTGATGTTTCTATCTCTTTCTCCCTCTCCCTTCCTCTCTATCTCTAAAATCAATGAAAACATTAAAAAAGTAATAATACACGCAGGACTGGAGAAACAGTTTTTCCTTTCCAGTTTCCCCACTGGCAAAAGCATAGTGGAAGGGGGAGGGGCCAGCCGAGCGCTGGGAGCTGCCTGGAAAGTAGAGGCAGCGGCAGTGGCTGGTGATGATCTGTCCTCACCAGGGACGGGGTTGCCACCAGATCTGTCAGGCCGCGCTACCGCAAGATCCAGAAGCTCACCAACGCCATCAACGCCTTCACCCTGACCAATGTTCTGCTCGTGTCTTTCGGCTTCACCTGCCTCATCAACAACTTACACCTCCAGGTACCCACCTCCGCTCTCCCCACCCTCCCTGCCTCTCAGGGCTCCTGCCTTCCCGGAACCGGAACCGGAACCGTGGTCCCCCTCGGGGTCTGTTTCCTAGGCTTTCCAGGGAGTGTTTCTGGTAGGTTGGGTGTTGGAGGCGGTTGCTTGTATAGGTGGGCTCCGTGAGGCTCCGCTTCCCTCTTCCCATCACCCACCCTTCGTCCTGCCTGCATCCCGCCCTTAAACCTCTTTCCTCTCCCTCTTGGTTTCAGTTTATGACCTTTGTCCTGCACACCGTGGTTCGAGGTTTCTACCACTCGGCTTGTGGCGGCCTCTACGCTGCAGTGTGAGTGAACCTGGTCTGAACTGCCTTTCTGCCCCCCCCCCCCATCAGCAGAGGGTCCCAGAGCAGAGATAAGAGAAAGGGCCCCAGACCCCCTCTAAGGCACCCCTTCCAGCCCGGGGAGGCATGGCCTCCCCAGCTTCCCTGGAACGCTGGCTCTAGGAGGATGGGGTGGATGGAGAAGATCCATGGGGATCTGGGAGGCTATCTGGTCCACTGCCCGCTTCGAGCTCCTCTCATGACGGGAGATCACGTCCTCAGACACAGCCCACCCCCTGTAGGACAGGTCCACTGTCACAAAGTCGCCTCTTAGAGGAAGCTGAAGTACTTGGTTTGCCGACACTGGGTCCTGTGTCTGCTCTCTGGAACGGCCCCCCAAGTGGCCTCTCTCCCCGTGTCAGCCCTGTAGATATGTCCAGACTGCAGTCTTGTTGCCTTATAATTTTCGTCCTTCCTGTTGAATGCCCCCAGTTCCCCTTCTTTCTTTCTGATCCCTTGTGTCTGCGAGGCAGGAACACAGGCTATTACAGTAGCGGTGACAAAATCATGACCGTTATTGAGTACGTGTTTGGTGGTGGGCACTGCGGGGCACTTGACCAACACCCCCTAGCTGAAACTCTTGGCAGCCATCTCAGGTCTGTTCCCTTCATTGGCTAAAACTGGGGTCACTCTTGATTCTTCACTTCCTCACACCCCACACCCAATCCAGCAACCATCCTGCCCACTCCATATCCAACCCTTCTTATCAGCCCCCCCCCCACCAGCCCCGTTCTGGCTGCCCTCGCCTTCCCTCGGGCTATTTATAACGCAAGAGCTGAAGACACCTGTTGGGACATAAGTCTCTTCATGGCACTGCATGGCTTCCCGTCTTGTCTCGCTCAGAGAAAAAGCCAAAGGCTTTATTATGGCTAAAAGGCCCCACAAGATCAGGCCCGGGGACCTCTCTGCCGTCTTCCTTACCCTCCCCCCATGGCCTCATAAACTCCATGCATATTCCCTCTTCTCAGACATTCTTCCTCTAAGATGCACGGCTGTCTCACCTTCTCTAAGTCTTCACTAAACTGTCCTCTCCTCAGTGACACCTCCCCTGGCCATCCTATCTATACGTGCAAACCCCTTACACCCTCCCCCCTTCTCTGCTTAACTTCTCCCCTTGGCTCTTATCACTGGCTAACACACTCTGTCTATATCTCACTCACTGGGTGACTACCACCCGCCCCACCAGAATGCCACCTACACAAGGGCAGGAATCTGTTGGTTTGGTTCATGGCTGAATCTCCATGCACCTAGACTGGCACCTGGCCCACAGAAGGAGTTCAGTAAATATTGGTGAGAAGAATCAATGAACAGCCTGGTGAGGTTAGGGCTAGCCTTGTTGTCAGTGGAGGAAGTGAGGCTCAGAAAGGTTGAGTTACTTGCTTTATCACATGGACAGTAGGTGTCAGAAGCCAGTTTGGTGGCCCTGACGTCATAGCACCCTCCAAGCCATGGACCAAAGAGCACACACATAGATCCTGAACCCTAAAGCTCCACCCTACCTGGCTGACAGAGAGCAGTGTCTGGGGAAGGGGACAGGAGGGGTGCCGGGCAGGAGAGGGCCGCACATCCTTCATGCTTGGCACCCCCTCTCCTTGACAGCTTCCCGTCCAACCACTTTGGGACGCTGACCGGCCTGCAGTCCCTCATCAGTGCCGTGTTTGCCCTGCTCCAGCAGCCACTCTTCATGGTCATGGTCGGACCCTTGAAAGGAGACCCCTTCTGGGTGAGAACTGGGGGTGACATGGGGGAAGCAGGAGCCCCTTTCCTGGGTGCAGCCCAGGAGTTGGGGTGGGGGGTTTGCACGTGGTAGACTCCTTGCCTCCTCTCATCTCAGCCAGGAGGTACCTTGGAAGTCTGTAATCTGGGGGCCCCTAAGCTGGCTGCCGTCAGAACCCCTCACAGAGTGCTAAGAACACATTCCCCAGACTACAGAACTGGTGGCTCTTGGCTGGGCCCAGGAGTCTGTTTTTAATAAGCTCCCTGGTGACACGTGAAATGGCCCAGTCCTGATCCGATCCAGTTCCACCCAATGCAGGGACCCTCTCCAGCAACCCCAACAAAGGGGCCCCCTCCAAGCCCCCTCAGGAACGGTGCCACTCCTGCACGAGGCAGCAGCCGATGGGACTGTTGGAAAGGCTTTTCCTTACATTGAAAGGACATCTGCCCCCCGAAAGCTCTCTCTGTGCCCCCGTGCGCCACTCACTCCCATAAACCCTTCTCCCATAAGAACCATGAAGTGACAGTGACTATTTACAGGGCCTTCCCTAGGTGCTGAGCATGTCGTGTGCTTTTATTGCTTAATCTTTGCCACAAGGGGCACTGAGAAGGAGACACTGAGGGTGGAGATGATTTGCCCAGGGCCCCAGAGCAATGCCCAGAGCAATGTGGAGGGGGATGCGAGGCGAGTCCAAGCCTGCATGCGGCCACTGTGCTGGGCCTCCAGAGCCTCCGTCCTTCAGGCTGAGCACCCCAGCTCCTTTTACTACCCCAAAGCCTCTTCTCAGCACCACCAGTGATCCCACAGTCAGGGTCCTCTGTGGGGCAATGGCATTAGCTGGGGTTCAAACCAGGCTCTGCCGATTTACAAGGTCGCTCGACATCACCTGAGATGCTGCTGGAACAGTGACTGAGCACAATAGGTTCTGGCTGTTTTCATCGTTCTGGCCCAGGACCTGGAGCGACATGGCTGCCTTCTCCTTCCAGTTGGAGGCTGCAGTGGGTCCCTGAGGAAGATGAGGGAGAACGGGAACCTATCTGACTCCCTCTCTTTGCCCTCAAGGTGAACCTGGGCCTCCTGCTCGCCTCACTCCTGGGGTTCCTGCTACCTTCCTACCTCTTCTACTACCGCGGCCGGCAGAAGGAGTACACCACTGACTGGGAGGGCCCCCTGAAGGGGCTGGGCAGCTCCGAGGTGACTGCATAGACCTCTGAGGCCAAGGGACCTGGATGACAGGCAGCTAAGGCCTGCGCAACCAAAGGGAATGCCTCCTACGGCTTTTATACCTGTAATATATGCACAAAGCCAGGGGCCGTGCATTTATAAATACCAAGAGAAGTTCTATTTTTATAGGGACTTGCTAAAAGGGGAAAACAATCCCTAAAAAAAAATCCCCCAAAGCAATGCACCCTTGACTGAAGACATCCCCTGTGCTAGAAGGATGGGCCTCTTCCTCCTGGATTGGAGACCAGTGTGTGGGGCTGCCCTTCTTCTGGGCCTTCGTCCTCCTGCTGCCTCCTGGGGCTTGTGGGATCAGCCAGCAGGCTACCCCCAAAGCCCCAGCTGTGCAATGCTCAGAGTGTACATGCGTGTGTGTGCACATGCACGTGTGTGTGTGTGTGTGTGTGTGTGTGTATGAACCCACCTTCCCCAAGGGGAAAGGGGCCTGAGGTGCTGGCTGTGTCCTGGATGGGGTGTGGGGAGTAAGCCTTTTCCAGGGGCCGGAGGGCGGGTTCCCTCCCTGGTGCTGCTTCTTGCAGATCTCAGAGGAAATAAAAAGGGAAGTGAGAGACTGGCTGGCGTGTGCTTGTGTCTTCCCACAGCTCTACCCATCTTCCTCACCCAGGCTTGGCTGGGCATTAAGTAGGACGCCCACAGTGCCAGCCCGTCCACCTCTGGCTGGCTGGCTCGCCTCCCTGTTCTCTCAGCCATGCCCTAATCTTAGAGTCTGGCTCCAGACCCTGCCCTCTGCTCCCGCCTCCATGTCCCTGGGTTTGGGTATATCCAGGAGGCTGAACTGTTTGCATACAGGGGTCAGGGCAGGATGCTTTAGAAAGAATGGATGGCCCTGGCTGGTTTGCTCAGTGGTTAGAGCGTTGGCCCGAGGACCAATGAGTCACGGGTTCGATTCCGAACAAGAGGACGTACCTCAGTTGCAGTTCTTCCCTGGCCATGATTGGGGTCGTGCGGGCGGCAACCACTCAATGTGTCCCTCTCACGTCGATGTTTCTCTCTCTCTCTCCCTCCCACTCTATCTGAACAAAAATGGAAAAATATCCTCTGGTAAGGATTAAAAAAAAAAAAAAAAAAGAATGGATGACTCTCAAAGTTTCCTTCCAAACCATCCCTGGGTGCCTTAAATAGTTTTCTAAAACGTCATACAAAGTTTGAGCTTCACTTTATATTATATTTATACTTACTTTCGGCATTAAAGTGAGGCTTTAAAATGACCCACATCAATCAATGTTCTCTCTCGTCAATGTTTCTATCTCTCTCTCCCTCTCCCTTCCTCTCTATCTAAAAACCAATAAAGGAAAAAAAAAAAAAAAAGGCCCTGCTGGTGTGGCTTAGTGGTTGAGTGTTGACCCAGGCACCAAGAGGTCGCTGGTTCGGTTCCTGGTCAGGGCATATGCCCAGGTTGTGGGCCCGATCCCCAGTGTGGGGCATGCAAGAGGCAGCCAATCGATGTTCTCTCTCATTGATGTTTCTATCTCCCTCTCCCTTCCTCTCTCTCTAAAAATCAATAAAGAAAAACAATTTTTTAAATGACCCGCATCAAGTGAAGATACCCTCTTTGAGGACAAGGGATAGTCCAGGAAGATATACCTTATCTATCCCACTCCTACACCTGTTTGGGCCCCTGGCACATAAGTCTTGGAGGCCCGAGTAAGTCACAGACTGGAGGGAGGGGCAGGAAGGGCGCTAACATTTGCTGAGGAGCTACCTGTGCTGCACAGGTGTCTCATTTCATTCCAACTACAGCCCAAGCAGTCCTTAACATCATGCTGAAAGCTCAGGGCACAAGACCAAAGGGCACAGCTGGTAGGTGGTGGAGCTGAGCTTGGAACCGCTGCTGAGTCCCAGCGGCAGGCCCGCCAGGGCAGTCAGGGGCAGAAGGGAGGTCCGAGCCTCTCAGCCCAACTCTCAGCTGTCCTCTCAGGGCTGACAGTGACCTCCAAGGCCTTCCCTACCTTCCCCCTCAAAAAACCCTTGGAGAACCTCCAAATGTTAGAGCCTAGAAGGCAGTGTTACAGATAAGCCGTCCCTTTGTCTAAACTCGCTTTAGACATTAAAAAGACTCACTCGCCCATTTTTACAGATGAGAAAATATGTCCAAAGGGGTCTGGAGACTTGGCTAAGTCACACAGCAGATCTGAGCCCAGTCTCCTGAATTCCAACACTGCTCTTCTGGCAAAATAGCATATCAGAATTAGCACCCACCAGTGGTTTGGGGGGTTCCCAGAGAGCCTGCCTGGTTTCACTGCACTTTCTGTCCCTGACCTTGACTTTCCGAAGTCTGGCATTGGTTGACTGGTGGAGGTTGATCCCAGTGATAAAATGGATCCCACTGGATTCCAGGTACTGGCGGGCCAAGGAAGCCCGGCGTGTGCTCGGGGTACTCAGTGTGCCCAGCAGGCGGCGCTGCGTAGCCGCAGCTGGGACAAGGTGGGGGAGAGTGGGGAGGGGTGAAGGAGGAGGTGAGCCAGAGGGGAACCCCTGCACCTCTGCACACGCACCCCTTACCCACGAGTCTGCTCTCCCTGGGTCTCTACCTCCAGTCCCCTACCCTGGCTTGCTCTGCCCTCCTTTGAAATATCCCCGTGCCCGACCCGACCCCCACCTTCTCAAGCGGTACCTCCAGCCCCACCCACCCTCGACCTTTGAGACAGAAGGAGGGGATCTCGGTGTCGGCCCCGGCTGGGGCTTGGGATTGGGTGGGCGACGCCGGCAGAAACCTCGGCCTCCTGGGGGAGGGTGTCTTCTCACTTCCCCAAATGGGGTGGGGAGCTTGAGGAGGGGGCTGGGCAGGGGCGGAAGCGAGCTGGAGCCGTGTTTGTCGCTGAGCTGCCGAGTGGAACAGATGGCTGGGGAGGGGAGAGGGTACGTGGCGGGAGGAGGAGGGGTGCGGGGGCCGGCGGATGAGAAACCAAGAATTTCGACGCCCCGAGTCTCCCAGGAGAAGCCCCCCTCCCCATCTCTTCCCAGAAAGAGGGAGGAGGGCAGTGCCTGTCTTCCCCCCCGGAGTGCCTTGGCCTCTGGCCTGCCACAGACCCCACTACGCAGTCGCCCGACCCGGGCGCCCCCTGACTCCCTCGGCCCCCCTCCCCCACCCCTGGTGCTGGCCAGGCCTGCAGGGTCAAGGCCTCAGGGAGCGCCCCGGGATGCGTGGGTTAATGGGGCCGCACTCTGAGGGGCAAGGAGGCGGTGGGAAGAGGGCTCCTGAGCTTGGAGCGTGTTCAGGGAACGTAAATAGCTGTAGGAAAAAGTGTTAATTGGAACTTTATGCAGATGAGCTGGGATCAGGGTTGGGGGTAGTGGGAGAAAGGTCAGACGGGTGCTGGACCCGAGCCAGTTCTGAGCGGAGGACTGGGGGGCCCTGGCCAGAGAGTGGCAGGTGTGAATCGGCTTATCCGAGCCTCTAACCTCTGGTGAGGGTCGCTGGTCCCTGGGGTTGGGAGGTTTCCTCCCTGGCACCTTGCTCCAGAAACGGAGCGTGGGGCTCTTCCAGGACCTCCATATCCCGGGACCATATCTCTCAGATGGGCACGAGGGGGTGCACCCTGCAAATCTGTTTCCTCTGTGGATGCTTACTCTGGGTGTGACCTTCTCTGTGTCCCTCATTCCCCATCTGTCTCCGCGTCCTCTCTGCCTCCCCCACTCTCTGTTCCCCATGGCTGGTATCACCCTCCCCAGGCAGGAGTCTTGTCTGTAACTCCCATCAAGTCTGTGTGGAGGGGGTCTCGGGATCTAACATTCCTTTCTTTGCTTTCTCTTGTCTATCCCCCACCCCCAGGGACCACTCACATTTAAGGAGATGTTTCTCAGCCGTTACAGTGCTTCGTAACCCACCCCCACTTGTCAAAATGCAGATTCCAGGGCCCCCTTAGAGATCTGATTCAGCAGGTCCGAGGGCTCAGAAATCTGCATTCATCAGCTTCCCAACTAAGTTTAATGTAAAAGGCCCCCGCTTTTAAAACGTGGTGCAGGGAACTGGTGGGCTGGAAACACTGGGCACACTTTCTTCAGCAGCCCTGCCCCCACTCCCAATTCTTCCTCCAAGCTCCTGACTTCATCTCTGCTCAGCGTGGCCACCTCTGCCTCCAGCATGATAGGACCAGACCTGGAGAAGTTGTCAGGAAGAAGGGAAGGAAAGGAGGAGAGAGAGAGTCTGGACCTAGCCCTTGTTTCTCTGAGCAAGGTCTTCCTCTTCCTGTCTGCTGCCTGCCTCCCTCCCCTCTGCCTTTGCTTCTCACCTTCCTCTCATCCACCAGCCTTGCCTCGCTTTGCTTCCCTTCCTCCTCTTCATCCAAAGTTTCTAGCAAGGCCAGAGGATCTTGGGGTGGACAGTTTGGATCTTAGCAGGGAATGGGAGAGCCAACCAAAGTCCCCACCTCTAAAAGAAAGAGGCAGAGGCATCCCTGGGGTTGCAAAGAACAAACAAACAAAAACAGAAGGAGAGAGGCTGAAGGAAAGACAGTAACAGCAGACGTGTAGGTCACCTTTCTGAGGTCTATATCTAACACAGCCACTCATTTAGGCAGTCACTATTGCCCTCAGGTTACAAATTAAAAAAATAAAATAAAAATAAAAGAAAGCAAGCAAACACTAGGGATGTTCAGAGAGGTTAAGTAACTTGCCCGAGGTCACATAGTAAGTGGGAGAATAACTAGGTCATTCACCCTTCTGCTTCCCCAGAATCATTTCTCCTGAGGCCACTGGGTAGCTGTCTCAGGCTTGCCCTCCCTGTCCCTCCCCCAGGGGCAATGGATGAGGAAGGGCGTCATGTCCAGAGATGAAAGGAGATGCTCAGGTTTCGGAACATCTGACAGGTCTGGCTGGAAGCATTAAGAATTCATGTAGAAACTTGACCCCCGCTGGACCTTGGGCCTGCCACCTGGACTGTCCCTGGCATTGTGGCCTCTCAGAGCCTGGTGGACAAATTTCCCTTCAGCCATGCCCTTGAGAACCCCAAGTCTTTCTGTTCCAAGGGAGAGGGGTTCTCTCACAGATTAGGGAGAGAAAGTCAGGAGCCAGCAGCTCAGAAAGCAGCGCTGAGAACCCTCCTCCCACTCACTAGTGTAAGAACCTTAGAGGCTTAAGGGCTTATAAACCTTGTCATCTGGTGTCCTGTTCATCTCCCCAGATAGATAGATGCTCACTCTCAGTTTACCAAGACGGAGTCTGGCTGTGATTCCCAAAGTGGCCAGTGGGAGGCAGCCATCTGCTGGGAGGCAGCCTGAGCTTGGGCCTGTACCTACAGCTTAAAAGGACAGTAAAAGGATCCCTATGGACAAGGTTAGAGAGATGCTGTTTTGGCCTTGGGGAAGGGCTCTGGAGTCTGCCATCTGAGGACAGTGGGAGAGGGTTCCTCATTTAGGGGAGGTTGAGGCATTTAAGGGGAATTCAAGGTAAGTTAGAGGTTTCAAGTGCACACTAACTGAGCGCCAGCATGATACAATCATTCTAGCTGGAGTGGAGGTTTGGTATGTGGCCATGAGACAGAAACCAAAAAGGCCATTGGTACCAGACTCTGAAGGATCACTGATGCTTTGCTAAGGTGTTTTACCTTTGATCTGTAGGCAATAGAGAGCCATTGTAGATTCCTGAGTGACATAATGCAATTTTGGTGAGCCTGAGTCTGGCCGCCATGGGCAGGCTGGGTGGGAGGGAGAGAGAGACTGAATGTAGAAAAACTAGAGAGGAGGGTAGTGCTATTTTCTCCTGCATTCTAGGCATGAGGTAATGAGGAGATGGAGCAGGGAGGCGGCAGGGGAATGGAAAGGGAGGGATGGACTGGGGCCGGAGCGAGACTGGGTGAGTAGATACAGGAATTTAGAGAAGGGAAGTGTTAACTACATTTAGGCTGGGTGTCAGGCAG